CACGGTAGAAAGGAGCTTTTGAATCGGTTGTCGGATACTGGGAAAGCGACGGATCACTGATCACCCTAACGGCTTTACCTTGAGTCCGGTCAAGAAGAGAAGGAGCAGAGTGCGAAATCCCACCCCGCATGCGTGTTCCTATTACCTATTAATTACCTCTTCAGTTGTCCGAAATTGCTTACGCATTATTGAGAAGAAAAGCTTCAAGATGTCAGTTCGTGTCCAAATGTTCACTGGTAAACAAACTGTATGCCACAAGATTGGTGAAAATATCGGACTAATGGATTCTGACAAGGATGAAACATCTGTACAGTAATTCCAAAGCTTTTCAGTACTACATATACAAGGCGTTAACATTGTACTTCATCTCGTTTCCTTCAACTGAAAAGTAGACTTGTGTAGATATGCGGACGAAGATTGCCAAAAAATAACTACCTCTGGTTTCTACGCCGACAATTTTTCCAAAGCAATGAGAAACAAAAATAGGTGTTTCACGTTGTTGTTGTTGTTGCCCCGGTGTTTCGTTATTGACTACTTTAGCCAGCATCGCTCTAGCAAAACTCACAAGATCGGAAATTGAAAACGAACTGTCATATTTCGAAAACAAACTCTTGCTCAAGTTATGCAGTTTAAATAGTTTGAAGGAACATGATGAGTTCAATCTGTTTAATATCCTATCATCAAATTTATCGGTCCTCGCGGAGCCCACTCTGAGTAGCCAGATTTCAATCACTTCTTTAGCCCCACTGTCCTCGTGGCTGTTAGGATTCATGCGTTCCTGTCTGAACTCTGTGTGCAACACGAAGACCCGTCAAAGGTGACAGTTTATTGCGTACAAATGATCCCCATTGTGCTCACCTTTCGGTCCTTATTATAATACTTTAATTGTTTCTGTGTTATTATTTTTAATGTTACATCGGATTTATTATTGGTTTTTAGGCTTTATTGTTACTCCTGGAACTAACCAAAGGTCATACAACCATCCAAAAGATAGTGGCTTTCGAAAACATATTTGAGCGATTGTTAAGTATTGTCCAGTCCGAGGGTTTGACTGATGGGGGCGTGGTCGTGGAAGATTGCCTTCGTCTGGTCTGCCAGCTGTTGGATGCGAATCAGCAAAATCAGATCTTGTTCAAAGAGACCAACGCGATCAAACGTCTACTGCCTCTGTTGGATCTGCGACTCAACGACACGTCAATTCAATTGAACTGGTCTGCACAAAAGGTTGTCAATGTGCAACTCACCATGCAGGTAAATCACGTATTTGCCCACTCCCCCCGCCTACACTTTGAATTCGGTATATATATATATATATATATATATATATATCTGTTTGCATGTCTTTGTGTATGACGAAAGGTCTGCAAACAACACTCCCACCTCGCTGAACCCTCCAACACCAACAGACAGCTGCTGTCTTTTCATCCTTACTCGAGCTCGTCCGTAGTACATGCCATTTTTTGTATCCGTTTAGAGACTCGAACCGCCAGGTGCGCATTAAAATGTTTTGATACATAGCAAGGTATAGAAAGTGTGGGAAATAAATAAATGCCCCCACCCGCGCACAGAGAGAGAGAGAGAAATGAAACCCGCACAAGTGAGACGTGACACCGATCCTGTTGATGATTATATCACCGGGGACAGAAGCAGTCACATATTTGATGTCCCATTCAGTCTATAAACTGGCTCCGAATACCACACTTTGTTCCATATTCTACTTCATAGAGTGGTTCTTAAGCAGGTAATTCAAAACCATGACAATTTCAAACGAAAAATTCCTACCCGCTTAGTAAACATTTTCTGAACAGTGTGTACGATTGTACTGGTGTTTAAATTGAGCGAATTAATTTTATTTAAATTGTTGTTTGATAGACACTGGAAAGACTATAGTCGGAGTCAGATGCCTTGATTGTGAACATTTCCATAGCTTCGGCGAGATTCGAAACCAGGCCTGGTCTAGAACCTACGGTTTTGTACAGCGCACGCTCCACTGGTCGAGAGAAGTGGTCAGCAGTGATCAGTTATCGAAATCACAGAGGTATATGGAATCTACCAATGACTGTCAGGGCTATATGCCTGCCCGGGCCAGTGTCTCTTAGAATCGACCGGAATCTACCAAACAAACTCTAAGGCTAACGAGGTGATGGCCATGTGTTGGTTTGAATCCTATCAAGGCAACTGTTCTTTTCAAAATTCAAATATAACAATTAACGGTGGCTTATTGTGAGAATCAGTAAATTTGACCATGATCTCTGGCAAAGCTGTAACATTTATAGATTAATGAGTTATCACTGAATTGCACCAATTCTCAATAGCTGATGATCGAACCCCGCCAGACAGTTTCGCTATCATCATGTTGTAATGTTACGATACAACTGAACTAGCACGAGTACGATACGTGCGGCAACAGAGACCCAAGAACCAAACCGNCTCAGCAGAATAGTGACGGTATACTGCTACCCCAAGCGAATCCCAACTGAACCGTAGCGAGAAAACGTCCCACGAACCAGTACGATCTCTGGAACCCGATTAGAGAGAGCGCGGAAGACAGGTCCTTCAGGTGAGGTCTCATATTTCGCTCGACCGTGAAAGGCGAAGAAAGCGGACAGCTCATCTGTTTATATACAGTTCTGGGACCGGTTATCAGTGACCTGGGAATATAGCTCAAAAGTAGTGAGTCACGGGAAAATGGACCAATGGGGATCAGGCATGACCGGTGGTGTGGTATGGGTCATTTTTGGCGGGAAAATCTGGAAATTCAAATTATATAAAAATTAATAGAAAAATAAGGAAAAATAGAGGGAAATAATCACTTTTGTTGGGAAAAATGGCATTTTCCCTATCACCTCCCCTTTTCGGGAGTGCTTGGCTTCGCGAGGACGTCGGTTTGGAGGTTCGCATCTTCTGGTCGCGGTCGCAGCAGTTTGCGATGGCGGACCCTGGTGTCGCCATCAACGTTGATCTCGGGCGGATCGGAGGGACAATAATTGTTGATGAAACCTTCCGTCCGAAAGGACGGGACGTCCTGTTGATTGCGATCACGGTTACATTGGATACCGCCTCCGATGTAACCCTGATTTCGGAAAACATCTGGCGAGCACTGGGTTCGCTAGCCATCCAACCCTCGTCGTTGTTTGCNTGCGACGTTTTCTCGCTACAGTTCGGTTGGGACTCGCTTGAGGTACCGCAGTCGGGCGCACCAATGTACCGTCACTATTCCGCTGGGTCGAACAGTTCGGGTCTTGGGTCTCTGCTAACACACGTATCGTTGGTCACGGCTCGTGCTAATTCAGTCGTATCTTAACATTACAATACATCAGCGCTAAGTATCATGCTTATTGCTGGTAGGTATTGGATAGTTTTTACTTCACGTCCCTAGGTTACCAAGTTTAGTTGCACCCACATTAGGCTCCTCTGTCTATGTACTTTGTCCTCTTGTCAATTCTGCACATTAATTTGTGAAATAAAGTTAGTTTGAGATAATTGTTGCTGTTGTCTCTCTTTCCAGATATTGCGAATCCTTGTATCGCCACGGAATAAAAATCAAGTTACTCGCGTCTGTCAAACCGCAATTCACGACTGTGGTCTGTTGGCCACATTGTGTGGGATTATCATGGCCAACGGAGTCCCGGCCGATGTGCTCACCAAGGCCATCTATGCGGTAGCCGATATCATTCGCGGTTGTCCGACAAATCAGCAATTCTTGGCCCATGTGATCGCTCCATCCGAGCCGCCACAACCGGCTGTCACTGTGCTTCTCGTATCCATGGTCAATGATCGACAAGCATTGGCTGTTCGTGCGGCTGCACTGTACTGTTTTCAGTGCTATGTCTGTGGCAATCCGGACATTCAGTCTTCTGTGATCATGACTTTGTTGCCCAAATCTGCCGAGCGTAAGTTCTATCCGTGGACTTCGCAATGTTGCGACATGCTATCCGAATGATTTGATGCATCGGTTCTCGCAGAACTGACAGCCAGCGCTTTATTACCCAACTCGAATCTCTGTGATCAACACACACAGGGCACGCGATCTACCTGTGTATACGTCTTTTCAAGCATTCTGGTTTGATAAGAACTGGCAAGAGCGCCGCTGCTATCGGTGGTGATGGTGGTGGTGGTGTGTGTGTGTGTGTGTGTGTGTGTGTGTGTGTGTGTGTGTGTGTGTGTGTGACGCAGTTCGATGACCTGAGGCAACGTAAAAATTTGATCAAAACACAAACGACCAGGCCGCAATCCGGCTTGTTGTTCACGAATAGTGGACTCTTAAAGGAGTCAGACCGCGAAGTATGATTGAGACTAACACTTTGTTGACAACTGGGATCGAACTTATCCTATGGTGACTCGCACAGTCGTCTCGAAATCCCTTCTCGAAAAAATGGGAATGATCAGTGATTTGCCTCAATATGAAGGAACGTGCTGTTGCGTCCAAATGTTGTGCAGTAAGGTAGTAATAGAGCTTACGAAGTCATCACCCCTTCACCTTGAAAAGAGTGGGAATGATCCACCCGGTTCTGCTGTTTGTCCTTGATTTAGAAATGGACTGCAGGACGGAACTTCTGCTTCTACCCGAGGATCACATGTCACTGCCCACGGAGCTTCAGTTGAGGCGAGGTGATCTGACCAGAGCCAGACCAACCAAATTTTTCACTGAGGTATTCCGCCCAGCGATCAATCCGTTGATCCCTATTGTGAATAGCTCGTCCCCTTTTATCGCAGACTGTTTCACTAACTGGAGTTCTCACATAGGTCCCGTTAGGCTCCCTGGATGGGGACCTCGGGATGATCGTAACCGATGGTTAGAGACAGTGAGTGATATGGCTGCTTGTCGTGAACAGTGGCGTTCGTGCATCTCAATTCCTTTGCAATTCTTCTTTTTTATTGGGCTCTACTTTCAACCTTCCTGTTTTCCTCTGCTGTTCATCTGAATGGGTAGTCCAAAGACAGCAACAAAAAACCGGCGAACGAAAATGCATGGTTAATGGTTGTACAAAATGCAACTAAAACTGGAGTTTGCCGACCTCCCGTGTTGAGTACAAGTCAGAACAGTCTTTAACTATTCCCTAATGCCGCTGCTACTTCCAGTTCACTAGCTATTGTTGCCCTCCAGTTTTCTTGATCCTTCTTGAGGCTTTTCGTGAACTCACGTTGCAGATGCCGCCTAACCTTGTTTTGATCCCGGGCGGTCGGGATTAGTCGTTTTTCTCCATCAGTGCTATGTCTGATTCATGAGCTGAGATGAGATGTTGCTTCCATTCCGGACGCTGATTGACCCTGCATCGCACTAAGCGACTGCTGGAGGGGATCCAATCGATTAATGAGACTTCTGCCTCGAGTTTACCCACAAATTGTGCTTCGTCGTCGCCTGATGTGTGG